CGGAGCGGCTTCGGGAGGGTTCGGAGCCGCTCGGAGCGGCTTCGGGAGGGTTCGGAACCGCTCGGAGCCGCTTCGGGAGGGTTCGGAACCGCTTCGGGAGGGTTCGGAGCGGCTTCGGGAGGGTTCGGAGCGGCTTCGGGAGGGTTCGGCTCCGCTTCGGGAGGGTTCGGAGCGGCTTCGGGAGGGTTCGGAGCGGCTCCGTTCGGCTCCGTTCGGCTCCGTTCGGCTCCGTTCGGCTCCGCTCGGGCCGGTTCGGCTCCGTTCGGCTCCGTTCGGCTCCGTTCGGCTCCGCTCGGGCCGGTTCGGCTCCGTTCGGCTCCTCCCAGGGGGCGGGGTTGGGGGCGGGGCTGGGGAGGGGGACAGAGGGGACAGGAGGGGAGGGGGGAGGGGACACGGCGGGGACAGCGACAGCCCGACCCCCCCCGGTGTCCCCAAAACCCCAAATGTCCCCCCCGGTGTCCCAAATGTCCCCAATCCCCTCAATGTCCCCAATGTCCCCAAAGTTCGAAACGTCCTCAATGTCCCCAAATGTCCCCTCCATGTCCCCCAACCCCCCCAATGTCCCCAACATCCCCCCAGATGTCCCCAACCCCCAATGTCCCCAATCCCCTGACTGTTCTCAATGTCCCCAATTGTCCCCGAACCCCCCCAAATGTCCCAAATGTCCCCAAATGTCCCCAATCCCCAACCCCCCCATGTCCCCAAATGTCCCTCATCCCAAACCCCAAAAATGTCCCCAATGTCCCCCAATTGTCCCCAACCCCTCAATGTCCCCAAATCCCCCCAACTCCCAAATGTCCCCAATTGACCCCAAACCCCCAAATGTCCCAAATATCCCAAATATCCCAAATGTCCCCAATGTCCCCAATGTCCCCAAACCCCCCATGTCCCCAAATGTCCCCCATCCCCAACCCCAAAAATGTCCCTAATGTCCCCAAATCCCCCGCAATGTCCCCAACGCCCCAAATATCCCAAATACCCCAATGTCCCCAATGTTTCCAACCCCCAAATGTCCCCAATGTCCCCCAATGTCCCCAAGCCCCAAATGTTCTAAATATCCCAAATATCCCAAATGTCCCAAATATCCCAAATTTCCCCAACCCCCCAAATGTCCCCAATCCCCTGAGTGTTCCTGATGTCCCCAATTGTCCCCAAACCCCCCCAATGTCCCCAAATGTCCCAAATTTCCCAAATGTCCCCAATGTCCCCATTAATGTCCCCAATGCCCCCAACCACCCAATGTCCCCAAATGTTCCCAAAGCCCCCAGTGTCACCAGTGTCCCCAAGCCCCAAATGTTTTAAATATCCCAAATATCCCAAATGTCCCCAATGTCCCCATTAATGTCCCCAATGTCCCCAATCCCCCAATGTCCCCAATGTCCCCAAATCCCCCCCAAATGTCCCCATTGTCCCCAATGTCCCCATTAATGTCCCCAATGTCCCCAAGCCCCAAATGTCCCGAATATCCCAAATGTCCTAAATGTCCCCCAATGTCCCCAAACCCCCAAATCCCCCCCAATGTCCCCAATGTCCCCATTGTCCCCAATGTCCCCATTAATGTCCCCAATGTCCCCAAGCCCCAAATATCCCGAATATCCCAAATGTCCCCAATCCCCCAATGTCCACAATGTCCCCTTTGTCCCCAATGTCCCCAAATGTCCCCAAATGCCCCAAATCCCCCCCAAATGTCCCCAAATGTCCCCAATCCCCAACCCTCAAAATGTCCCCAAATCCCCTCCAATGTCCCCAAATGTCCCAAATATCCCAAATGTCCCCAATGTCCCCAATGTTCCAAATGTCCCCAATGTCCCCAAGCCCCAAATGTTCTAAATATCCCAAATATCCCAAATTTCCCCAACCCCCCAAATGTCCCCAATTATCCCAAATGTCCCCAATGTCCCCATTGTCCCCAACCCCCCAAATGTCCCCAAACCCCTCAATGTCCCCAATGTCCCCAAGCCCGAAATGTCCCCAATCTCCCAAATTTCCCAAATGTCCCCAATGTCCCCATTAATGTCCCCAATGCCCCCAACCACCCACTGTCCCCAATGTCCCCGTTGTCCCCCAATGTCCCCAATGTCCCCAATGTCCCCAAATGCCCCAAATCCCCCCCAGATGTCCCAAATGTCCCCAAATGTCCCCAGACGCTCCGGCCCGGCTCCTTTTCGGGGTTTATTATTTTGGGGTTTTTTTGGGGGGGTTTTATGGCTTTGGGGACCCCCCGGCCCCACTCGGACACACCCGGGGGGGGAGGGGACACACGGGGACACGGGGGGGACACACGGGGACATGAGGGGACACCGGGGGGACACCGGGGGGACACCGGGGGGGGTCCCCGAGTCCCTCCTGGGGACAAACACACACGGGGGGGGAGGGGCGCGGGTTGGGGGGGACACACGCGGGGGGGTGACAAAAATGGGGGGCCGGTTTGGGGGGGGTCCCTTTTTTGGGGTCCCTTTTTTGGGGTCCCTTTTTTGGGGTCACTTTTTGGGGTCCCTTTTTTGGGGTCAGTTTTTTGGGGTTCCCTTTTTTGGGGTCCCTTTTTTGGGGGTCCCTTTTTTGGGGTCCCTTTTTTGGGGTCAGTTTTTTGGGGTCCCTTTTTGGGTTCCCTTTTCGGGATCCCTTTTTTGGGGTCCCTCTTTGGGATCCCTTTTTTGGGGTCTTTTTTTTGGGGGACCCTTTTTTGGGGTCCCTTTTTTGGGGACCTTTTTTTGGGGTCACTTTTTGGGGTCCCTTTTTTGGGGGTCACTTTTTTGGGGTCCCTTTTTTGGGGTCCCTTTTTTGGGGTCCCTTTTTAGGGGTCATTTTTTTGGGGTCACTTTTTGAGGGGGGGACACTGGGGGGCCCTTTTGGTGTCCCTTTTTTGGGGTCCCTTTTTGGGGTCCCTTTTTTGGGGGGTCCCTTTTTGGGGTCCTTTTTTTGGGGGTCCCTTTTTGGGGTCACTTTTTTGGGGGTCCCTTTTTGAGGGGGGGGGACACGGGGGGGCCCTTTTGGGATCCCTTTTTTGGGGGGTCCTTTTTTTGGAGACCCTTTTTTGGGGTCAGTTTTTTGGGGTCCCTTTTTGGGGTTCCTTTTTTGGGGGTCCCTTTTTGGGAACCTTTTTTGGGGTCCCTTTTTGGGATCCCTTTTTGGGGGGGTCCCTTTTTTGGGGACCATTTTTGGGGGGTCCCTTTTTCGGGGTCCCTTTTTGGGGTCCCTTTTTTGGGGCCCCTTTTTTGGGGTCCCTTTTTTGGGGTCTTTTTTTGGGGGTCTTTTTTTTTTGGGGTCCCTTTTTGGGGACCATTTTTGGGGTCCCTTTTTTGGGGTCAGTTTTTTGGGGACCTTTTTTTGGGGTCCCTTTTTGGGGTCCCTTTTTGGGGTCCCTTTTTTTGGGGGGTCCCTTTTTGGGGTCCTTTTTTTGGGGTCCCTTTTTTGAGGTCCCTTTTTCGGGGTCCCTTTTTTGGGGTCCCTTTTTTGGGGGAGACACCAGGGGGCCCTTTTGGGGTCCCTTTTTATGGGAGTCCCTGTTTGGGGTCCTTTTTTGGGGTCCCTTTTTGGGGTCCCTTTTTGGGGGGGGTCCCTTTTTTGGGGACCATTTTTGGGGGACCCTTTTTTGGGGTCAGTTTTTTGGGGTCACTTTTTTGGGGTCCCTTTTTTGGGGTCAGTTTTTTGGGGCCCCTTTTTGGGGTCAGTTTTTTGGAGTCCCTCTTTGGGGGTCCCTTTTTTGGGGTCAGTTTTTGGGGTCCCTTTTTTGGGGTCCCTTTTTTGGGGTCCCATTTTGGGATCTCCTTTTGGTCTCCCCCCTCCCCAATTTTGGGGCCCCCTCCCAATTTTGGGGTCCCTTTTTTGGGATTCTGTTTTTCGGGGTCCCCTTATTGGGATCCTTTTTTTGGGGTCCCCCTCTCCTATTATGGGATCCCTTTTTTTGGGGTCTATTTTGGGGTCCCTTTTTGGGGTCCCCCCTCCCCAATTTTGGGATCCCTTTTTGGGGTCCCCCTCCCCAATTTTGGGTCCCCCCTTCCCCAATTTTGGGATCCCTTTTTGGGATCCCCCTTCCCCAATTTTGGGGTTCCCCTCCCCAATTTTGGGATCCTTTTTGAGGTCCCCCCTCCAAAATTTTGGGATCCCCTCCCCAATTTTGGAGTCCCCCCATCCCCAAATTTGGGACCCTCTCCCGAATTTTGGGGTCCCTTTTTGGGGTCCCCCCTCCCCAATTTTGGGGCCCCCCCTCCCCAATTTTGGGGTCCCCCCTCCCCAATTTTGGGGTCCCCCCTCCCCAATTTTTGGGTCCCTTTTTGAGGTCCCCCCTCCCCAATTTTGGGGACCCCCTCCCCAATTTTGGAATCCCTTTATGGGGTCCCCCCTCCCCAATTTTGGGGTCCCCCCTCCCCAATTTTGGAGACCCCCTCCCCAATTTTGGGATCCATTTTTGGGTTCCCCCCTCCCTAATTTTGGGGTCCCCCCTCCCAAATTTTGTGATCCCTTTTTAGGGTCCCCCCTCCCCAATTTTGGGGTCCCCCTCCTCAATTGTGGGATTCCCTTTTTGGGGTCCCCCCATCCCTAATTTCGGGGTCCCCCCTCCCCAGTTTTGGGACCCCCCTTCCCCAATTATGGGGTCCCCCCTCCCCAATTTTGGGATCCGTTTTTGGGGTCCCCCTCCCCATTTTTGGGATCCCCCTCCTCAATTGTGGGATCCCTTTTTGGGGTCCCCCCTCCCCAATTTTGGGGCCCCCCCTCCCCAATTTTGGGCTCCCCCCTCCCCAATTTTGGGGACCCCCTCCTCAATTTTGGGGTCCCTTTTTGGGCTCCCCCCTCCCTAATTTTGGGGTCCCCCCTCCCCAATTTTGGGGTCCCCCCTCCCCAATTTTGGGGTCCCATTTTGGGGTCCCATTTTGGGGGGGTCCCCCCAACCCCCCCAGGACCGGACACAGGGGTGGGGGAGGGGGTGGGGGAGGGGTGGGGGGGGGGGGCCCCATTTTTGGGGGGGTTCCCCTCCCCCCCCACCCCCCCCCGGTTTTGGGGTTCACAGTGGGGGGGGGCGGGGCCCCCCCGTGTCTTGGGGGGCCCGGGGGGGGCCCGGGGGGGGCCGGGGGGGCCCCTATGGCTTCGGGCCCCATTGGCCCCACGGCGCCGACCTGCGGGGAGACCAGTATAAACCAGTATAAACCAGTATGGACCAGTATGGACCAGTATGGACCGGTATGGACCAGTATAAACCAGTATAAACCAGTATGGACCAGTATGGACCAGTATAAACCAGTATGGACCAGTATGGACCAGTATGGACCAGTATGGACCAGTATAACCCAGTACGGACCAGTACGGACCGGTATAAACCAGTATGAATCAATATAAACCAGTATGGACCAGTATGGAGCAGTGAATTCCCAGTATGGACCAGTATGGGACAGGATAGACCAGTATGGAAATGGGAATTCCCAGCACAAACCAGTATGGACCAGTATGAACCAGTATGGACCAGTGAACTCCCAGTATGAAAACGGAATTCCCAGTTCCCTCCCAGTGCTCCCAGTCCCTCCCAGTGCCCCCAGTTTGGCTCCCAGTTTGGCTCCCAGTGCTCCCAGTGCTCCCAGTTGGGCTCTCAGTCCATCCCAGTGCTCCCAGTCCCTCCCAGTTTGGCTCCCAGTTTGGCTCCCAGTGCTCCCAGTGCTCCCAGTTGGGCTCTCAGTCCATCCCAGTGCTCCCAGTCCCTCCCAGTCCCTCCCAGTTCCCTCCCAGTCCCTCCCAGTTTGGCTCCCAGTGCTCCCAGTCCCTCCCAGTCCCTCCCAGTCCCTCCCAGTCCCTCCCAGTGCTCCCAGTGCTCCCAGTTTGGCTCCCAGTGCTCCCAGTTTGGCTCCCAGTGCTCCCAGTGCTCCCAGTTTGGCTCCCAGTCCCTCCCAGTCCCTCCCAGTGCTCCCAGTGCTCCCAGTCCCTCCCAGTGCTCCCAGTTTGGCTCCCAGTGCTCCCAGTCCCTCCCAGTTTCTCTCCCAGTCCCTCCCAGTCCCTCCCAGTCCCTCCCAGTGCTCCCAGTTTGGCTCCCAGTGCTCCCAGTGCTCCCAGTTTGTTTCTCACCGCTCAGGCCGGGCCCAGGGGCTCCCCCAGGGCCGCTTTGTCCCGCGGGGCCGCCTTGGGCAGAGCCTTCTCCTGGGACGGACACACGGACACAGGACGGACACACGGACCCAGGACGGACACACGGACACGGGACAGACGGACACGGGACAGACACAGGGACAGACGGACACGGGGACAGGGAATGGACACACGGACAGACGGACACGGGACGGACACACGGACACGGGACAGACGGACACACGGACAGACACACGGACACATGGACGGACATGGGACAGGGACGGACACAGGACAGGGACGGACACGGGACAGACGGACACACGGACACACGGATGGACACACGGACAGGGATTGGACACACGGACACGGGACGGACACACGGATGGACACACGGACAGGGATTGGACACGGGATGGACACAGGACAGATGGACACGGGGACAGGGATGGACAGATGGACAGACGGACACGGGACAGATACACAGACAGGGATGGACACCAGACGGACACACAGACACGGACATGGGACAGACACACGGACACACAGACACGGGGACAGACACACGGACATGGGACAGACACACGGACACGGGACGGACGGACACGGGATGGACACACGGACACGGGGACAGACACACGGACGGACACGGGACAGACGGACACGGGGACAGGGATGGACAGATGGACAGACGGACATGGGACAGATACACAGACAGGGATGGACACCAGACGGACACGGGACAGGGACAGACACACGGACGGACACACGGACAGGGATGGACACACAGACAGGGATGGACATGAAACAGACGGACACGAGACAGACACACGAACATGGGACAGACACACGGACAGGGATGGACACAGGATGGACACGGGACAGGGACAGACACATGGACAGGGATGGACACATGGACGGACACGGGACAGACGGACACACGGATACACAGACACGGGATAGACACACGGACGGACACGCGGACACACGGGACAGACATGGGACAGGGACGGACACACGGACAGGGATGGACATGGGGACAGACACACAGACAGGGACGGACACACGGACGGACACACGGACATGGGACAGACAGACACAGGACAGACACAGGACAGGGACAGACATAGGGACAGATGGACACGGGGACAGACACAGGGACAGGGATTGGACACGGGACGGACACGGGACAGGGATGGACACATGGACAGATGGACACGGGACAGACACACGGACACGGGACAGACACACGGACGGACACACGGACACACGGATGGACACACGGACAGGGATTGGACACGGGATGGACACAGGACAGATGGACACGGGGACAGGGACAGACACATGGACGGACACGGGACAGGGACGGACATGGGACAGACACACGACAGGGATGGACACAGGGACAGACACACGGACAGACATGGGACAGACACAGGGACAGATGGACATGGGGACAGGGATGGACAGATGGACAGACGGACAGAGGGACAGGGACAGACACACGGACACGAATGGACACGGGGACAGACGGATACAGGGACAGGACAGGGGGACAGACAGACGGACAGACAGGGGGACAGACAGATGGACACAGGGACAGGACAGACAGATGGACGGACAGACGGACAGACATGGGGACAGGACAGACAGACGGACGCTGTCAGGGATCCCCAGGTCTCCTTTGGATTCTGGGGGGTCCCTATGGGACTTGGGGGCTCCCCTATGGGATTTGGAGGGTCCTCTATGGGATCTGGGGGGTCCCTTATGGGGTCAGGGGGTCCCCTATGGAGTCATGGGGTCCCCTATGGGATCTGGGGGTCCCCAATGGGATCTGAGGGTCCCAATGGGATCCTGGGGGTCTCGGGGTCCCCTATGGATCCTGTGGGGTCTCTATGGGATCAGGGGCTCCTTATGGGATCCTTATGGGATCTGGGGTCCCTATGGGATCTGGGGGTTTTGGGGGGTCCCCGAAAGGGTTTTAGGGGGTTTTGGGGGGTTTTGGGGGGTCCCGGGGGGGGGTTTGGGGGTCCCGGGGGGGGTCAGACCTCCACCAGGGTGTGCCAGTGCTCGATGGGCTTGGGGGTCCCTGTGGGGTCATTATGGGGTCCCTATGGCACCTGTGGGGTTTTGGGGGTCCCTATGGGATCTGTGGGGTTTTGGGGGGTCCCGGGGGGTTTTTGGGGGGTTTTGGGGGTCCCGGGGGGGTCAGACCTCCACCAGGGTGTGCCAGTGCTCGATGGGTTTGGGGGTCCCTGTGGGGTCATTATGGGGTCCCTATGGGATCTGGGGGGGGTTTTGGGGCTCCCTATGGGATCTGGGGGGTCCCGGGGAGTTTTGGGGGGTCCCGGGGGGATTTTGGGGGTCCCGGGGGGGGGATCCAGACCTCCACCAGGGTGTGCCAGTGCTCGATGGGCTTGGGGGCTCCTGTGGGGTCATTATGGGGTCCCTATGGGATCTATGGGGTTTTGGGGGTCCCTATGGGATCTGTGGGGTTTTGGGGGGTCTCAGAGGGTTTTGGGGGGTCCCGGGGGGGGTTTGGGGGTCCCTGGGGGGTTTTGGGGGGTTTTTGGGGGTCCCGGGGGGGGTCAGACCTCCACCAGGGTGTGCCAGTGCTCGATGGGCTTGGGGGTCCCTGTGGGGTCATTATGGGATCCTTATGGGATTTTGGGGTCCCTATGGGGTTTTGGGGTTTCTTATGGGATCTGGGGGGCTCCGGGGAATTTTGGGGGGTCCCGGGGGGGTTTTGGGGGTCCCGGGGGGTTTTGGGGGTCCCGGTGGGGGTCAGACCTCCACCAGGATGTGCCAGTGCTCGATGGGCTTGGGGGTCCCTGTGGGGTCATTATGGGGCCCCTATGGGATCTGTGGGGTTTTGGGGGTCCCTATGGGATCTGGGGGGCTCTGGGGAATTTTGGGGGGTTTTTGGGGGGTTTTGGGGGTCCCGGGGGGTTTTTGGGGGTCCCGGGGGGGGGTCAGACCTCCACCAGGGTGTGCCAGTGCTCGATGGGCTTGCGGGGGTCCTGTGGGGTCATTATGGGGTCCCTATGGGATCCTTATGGGATCTGTGGGGTTTTGGGGTTCCCTATGGGATCTGGGGGGTTCTGGGGGGTTTTGGGGGGTCCCGGGGGGGTTTGGGGCTCCCGGGGGGGTCAGACCTCCACCAGGGTGTGCCAGTGCTCGATGGGCTTGCGGGGGTTGGCCAACATCTGCGCCCAGTGCTCGCGGCCGGGGCCGTCGGCGTCGCTGCCCACGCGGCACAGCCCGATCACCTCGTTGTGCCCGATGCTGTCGGGGGGTCACGGGGGTCAGGGGGACCCCAAAAAACCCAAAATTCACCCCAAAAATACCCCAAAAATCCCCGACTCTGCAGGATCCCAAAATTCCCCAAAATCCCCCAAAATGACCCCCAAAATCCCCCAAAACGACCCCAAATCCGGCCCACACAAAACAGTTCCATCACCTTCCCGTGACCAAATTTGGAGGGGTCAGGGGGACCCCAAAACCGCGAGAGGGACCCCAAAAAACCCCAAAATCCACCCCAAAAATACCCCAAAAATCCCCGACTCTGCAGGACCCCAAAATTCCCCAAAACGACCCCAAAAATCCCCCAAAACGACCCCAAATCCGGCCCACACAAAATAGTTCCATCATCTTCCCGTGATCGATTTTGGAGGGGTCAGGGGGACCCCAAAACCGCGAGAGGGACCCCAAAAATCCTGGGAAGACCCCAAAATCTGCCCCCAAAAACCTCAGTTTGGGGGGACCCCAAATTCCCCCAAAACGACCCCAAATTCCCCCAAAACAACCCCAAAATCCCACAAAACGACCCCAAATCTGGCCCACGTGACCAAATTTGGAGGGGTCAGGGGGACCCCAAAACCGCGAGAGGGACCCCAAAAAACCCCAAAATCCATCCCCAAAAAACCTCAGTTTGGGGGGACCCCCAAAAAAACCCAAAATGAGCCAAAATCCTCCCAAACCCGTCGAAATCCCCTCAAGACCCCAAAAAGACCCCAAAATTCCCTCCAAAGACCCACCAAGAACCTCCCAGTACGAACCAGTTGGACCCAACCATGGAGATGAAGTTGACGCTCTCATGGAAAACATCAACGAAGGAGCGTCCCATTGATCCAGAAAACCCCAAAACCCCCAAATCACCCCAAAACCCCCCAAAACACCCCAAAATCTCCCCAAGACCCCTCAAAGACCCCAAAATTCCCTCCAAAGACCCCCCCAGAACCTCCCAGTACAAACCAGTTGAACCCAACGATGCAGATGAAGTTGACGTTCTCATGGAGAACATCAACCAAGGAGCGTCCCATTGATCCAGAACACCCCAAAACCCCCAAAATCACCCCAAAACCCCTCAAGACCCTTCAAAGACCCCAAAATTCCCACCAAAGACCCCCCAAGAACCTCCCAGTTGAAGACAACGATGGAGACAAAGTTGACGTTCTCATGGAGAACATCAACCAAGGAACGTCCCATTGCTCTGGGATGACCCCAAACACCCCAAAACCCCCCAAAACCCCCCAAAACACCCCAAAATTCCCTCCAAAGACCCCCCAAAGAACCTCCCAGTACAAACCAGTTGAACCCAACAATGATGACAAAGTTGACATTCTCATGAAGAACATCAACCAAGGAACATCCCATTGATCCAGAACACCCCAAAACTCTCCAAAACCCCCCAAAATCCCCTCAAGACCCCTCAAAGACCCCAAAATTCTTTCCAAAGACCCCCCAAGAACCTCCCAGTACAAATCAGTTGAACCCAACGATGGAGACGAAGTTGCCGTTCTCATGGAGAACATCAACCAAGGAACGTCCCATTGATCCAGAAAACCCCAAAACCCCCGAAATCATCCCAAAACACTCCAAAAACACCCAAAACCCCCCAAAGATTCCCCAAAGACCCCCCAGAACCTCCCAATACAAATCCATTGAACCCAACGATGGAGATGAAGATGACGCTCTCATGGAGAACATCAACCAAGGAACGTCCCATTGCTGCGGGATGACCCCAAAACACCCCAAATCACCCCAAAATCCCCTCCAGACCCCTCAGAGACCCCAAAATTCCCTCCAAAGACCCCCCAAGAACCTCCCAGTACAAACCAGTTGAACCCAACGATGGAGATGAAGTTGACGCTCTCATGGAGAACGTCAACCAAGGAACGTCCCATTGCTTCGAGATGACCCCAAACACCCCAAAACCCCCTAAAACCCCCCAAAACACCCCAAAATCACCTCAAGACCCTTCAAAGACCCCAAAATTCCATCCAAAGACCCCCCAAGAACCTCCCAGTACAAACCAGTTGAACCCAACAATGATGACAAAGTTGACATTCTCATGGAGAACATCAACCAAGGAACATCCCATTGATCCAGAACACCCCAAAACTCTCCAAAACCCCCCAAAATCCCCTCAAGACCTCTCAAAGACCCCAAAATTCTTTCCAAAGACCCCCCAAGAACCTCCCAGTACAAATCAGTTGAACCCAACGATGGAGACGAAGTTGCCGTTCTCATGGAGAACATCAACCAAGGAACGTCCCATTGCTCCAGAACACCCCAAAACGCCCCAAAACACCCCAAAATCGCCCCAAATCCTGCCCGTCGCGCACCAGTCGTAGTCGACGACGGCGATGGTGAGGCTGACGTGGTGGACGCTCTCGTGGGGCACGTCGAACACCAGCGCCTCGTTGTAGCTGGGGTTCAGCGTGTTCTTCTTGATGGACGTCTTGCGCTTCTTCAGCCGCCGGCCCTCGGCCATCAGCGACGCCTTCACGTAGGGGTCTGCGGGCCCCAGAGATCATGGAGACCCACGGCGACCCACGGCGACCCACAAGTGACCGTGGGGCCCCATGGAGCCCCATAGACCCCATAGCACCCCACAAGTGTCCATGGGAACCCTTGGAGCTCCATAGACCCCATGGAGCCCCATAGATCTCATGGAGCCCCATAGACCCCATGGAGCCCCATAGACCCCATGGAGCCCCATAGACCCCATGGAGCCCCATAGACCCCATGGAGCCCCATAGACCCCGTGGAGCCCTATAGACCCCATGGAGCCCCATAGACCCCATGGAGCCCCACAGCGACCCACAAGTGTCCATAGGAACCTCATGGAGGCCCATAGATCCCATACTGCCCCATAGATCTCATGGAGCCCCATAGACCCCATTGGGCCCCATAGATCATGGAGCCCCATAGACCCCACGGAGCCCCATAGACCCCATGGAGCCGCACGGCGACCCACAAGTGTCCATAGGGCACCATGGAGCCCCACAGCGCCCCATGGAGCCCCATAGACCCCATAGTACCCCACAAGTGTCCATGGGAACCCGTGGAGCTCCATAGATCCCATAGTGCCCCATAGACCCCGTGGAGCCCCATAGACCCCATGGAGCCCCACAAGTGTCCATAGGAACCACATGGAGCCCCACAGCGCCCCATGGAGCCCCATAGACTCATGGAGCCCCATAGACCCCATGAAGCCCCATAGATCTCATGGAGCACCATAGATCCCACGGAGCCCCACGGCAACCCATGGAGCTCCACAGCGACCCACAAGTGTCCATAGGACCCCATGGAGCCCCATAGACCTCATGGAGCCCCATAGACCTCATGGAGCCCCATAGACCCCATGGAGACCCACGGCAACCCATGGAGCCCCATAGACCCGATGGAGCCCCACGGTGACCCATGGAGCCCCACGGAGACCCACAAGTGTCCATAGGAACCCCATGGAGCCCCACGGTGACCCATGGAACCCCAAAGAACCCATGGAGCCCCATAGATCCCATAGTGCCCCATAGACCCCATGGAGCCCCACAGCGACCCACAAGTGTCCATGGAACCCGTGGAGCCCCATAGATCCATGGAGCCCCATAGATGCCATAGTGCCCCATAGATCCCATAGTGCCCCATAGATCTCATGGAGCCCCACAGATCCGTGGAGCCCCATGGAGCCCCATAGACCCATGGAGCCCCATAGATCCCATGGAGCCCCATAGATCCCATAGTGCCCCATAGATCCCATGGAGCCCCACAAGTGTCCATAGGAACCCCATAGAGCCCCATAGACTCCATGGAGCCCCACAGACCCCATGGAGCCCCATAGACCCCATAGCACCCCATAGACCCCATGGAGCCCCATAGACCCCATGGAGCCCCATAGACCCCATGGAGCCCCATAGACACCATGGAGCCCCACAGCGCCCCACAAGTGTCCGTGGGAACCCCATGGAGCCCCATAGATCCCATGGAGCCCCATCGACCCCATAGTGCCCCATAGACCCCATAATAACCCACAGAACCCCATGGAGCCCCATAGACCCCGTGGAGCCCCATGGCACACACCTGTCCCACACCTGTTGCACACCTGCACACACCTGTACACACCTGTAAACACCTGTGACACACCTGTACATACCTGTGACACCCCATGACACACCTGAGCACACCTGTGACACACCTGTGACACACCTGTACACACCTGTTCCCCCGTGACACACCTGTACACACCTGTGACACCTGTGACACCCCTGTCTCCCTGTGACACACCTGTGACACACCTGAGCACACCTGTACACACTTGTACACACTTGTACACACCTGTGATACCCCTGTGACACACCTGAGCACACCTGTACACACTTGTACACACTTGTACACACCTGTGATACCCCTGTGACACACCTGAGCACACCTGTACACACTTGTACACACTTGTACACACCTGTGATACCCCTGTGACACACCTGAGCACACCTGTGACACACCTGTGACACACCCATGACACACCTGTGACACACCTGTCCCCCGTGACACACCTGAGTAGCCGGTGAGGTCCATGGCCCTATATCACCCCTGTGACACACCTGCACACACCTGTGACACCCCTGTGACACACCTGTGACACACCCATGACACACCTGAGCACACCTGTACACACCTGTACACACCTGTACACACCTGAGCACACCTGTGACACACCTGTACACACCTGTGACACACCTGTGACACACCTGAACACACCTGTGACACACCTGTCCCCCCCATGACACACCTGTGACACACCCATGACACACCTGAGCACACCTGTGGCACACCTGTCCCCCCGTGACACACCTGTACACCCCTGTGACACACCTGCACACACCTGAGTAGCCGGTGAGGTCCATGGCCCCATATCCCCCCTGTGACACACCTGAACACCACCTGTCCCACACCTGTGACACACCCATGACGCACCTGTCCCCCGTGACACACCTGTGACACACCCGTGACACACCTGCACACACCTGTGACACACCTGTCCCCCGTGACACACCTGAGTAGCCGGTGAGGTCCATGGCGCGCAGGTTGGAGGCGCGGATGACGGTGACCGTGAGGCGCCCGGCCGTGGGCAGGTAACAGAGGGAGAAGTTCACCTCACCCAGGTCGGCCTTCTCCTGCAGGTGGGACAGGTGGGACATGGACAGGTGGGACAGGTGGGACAGGTGAGGGACAGGTGACGGGGACAGAAACAGGTTCCACAGGCGCCTCCTGGACGTCCCTCTGGTGACCATCTCCAGAAGGTTCTCCACCACCATTTCCCAAGACCTTTTGGGGTTTTTCTGCGATCTTTTAGGAGTTTTGGGGTCTCTGTTGGGTTCCTTATCGGTTCCCCAAGATTTCAGTGCCCACTCACCCCCATGTCCACCTGGATGTCCTTCTGGTGACCATCTCCAGAAGGTTCTCCAGGATTCCCTGCTCCCCTCACCTGCCCCATGACCCTTTTTTGAGGAGTTTTGGGGTCTCTTTGGGGCCCCCACCATCCCCACCCTGACTCACCCCTGTCACCTCCTGCATGTCCCTCTGGTGACCACCTCCAGAAGGTTCTCCACCACCATTTCCCAAGATATTTTGGGGTTTTTTCTGGGGATCTTTTAGGAGTTTTGGGGTCTGTGTGGGATTCTTCACAGCTCCAGTGGCCACTCACCCCCGTGCCCTCCGGGACGTCCTTCTGGTGACCATCTCCAGAAGGTTCTCCAGGATTCCCTGCCCACCTCACCTGGCCCATGACCCTTTTTTGAGGTGTTTTGGGGTCTCTGTGGGGTTCTTCATAATTCCAGTGCCCACTCACCCCGGTGCCCTCCTGGACGTCCCTCTGGTGACCATCTCCAGAAGGTTCTCCAGGATTCCCTGCCCACCTCACCTGCCCCATGACCCTTTTTTGAGGAGTTTTGGGGTCTCTGTGGGGTTCCTCATGGGTTCCCCAAGATTTCAGTGTTCATCCCCCTCATCCCCTCCTGGACATCCCTCTGGTGACCATCTCCAGAAGGTTCTCCACCACCATTTCCCAAGACATTTTGGGGTTTTTCTGGGATCTTTTAGGAGTTTTGGGGTCTGTGTGGGATTCTTCACAGCTCCAGTGCCCACTCACCCCCGTGCCCTCCTGGATGTCCCTCTGGTGACCACCTCCAGAAGGTTCTCCACCACCATTTCCCAAGATATTTTGGGGGGTTTTTTTGGGATCTTTTAGGAGTTTTGGGGTCTCTGTGGGGTTCTTCATAATTCCAGTGCCCACTCACCCCTGTCACCTCCTGGACGTCCCTCTGGTGACCATCTCCAGAAGGTTCTTCATGATTCCCTGCCCACCTCACCTGCCCCATGACCCTTTTTTGAGGTGTTTTGGGGTCTCTGTAGGGTTCTTCATGGGTTCCCCATGATCCCAGTGCCCACTCACCCCCGTTCCCTTCTGGACGTCCTTCTGGTGACCATCTCCAGAAGGTTCTCCACCACCATTTTCCAAGATATTTTGGGGGGTTTTTTTGGGATCTTTTAGGAGTTTTGGGGTCTGTGTGGGATTCTTCACAGCTCCAGTGCCCACTCACCCCTGTGCCCTCCTGGACGTCCCTCTGGTGACCATCTCCAGAAGGTTCTCCAGGATTCCCTGCCCACCTCACCTGCCCCATGACCCTTTTTTGAGGTGTTTTGGGGTCTCTGTGGGGCTCCCCACCATCCCCACCCCCACTCACCCCTGTGCCCTCCTGGATGTCCCTCTGGTGACCATCTCCAGAAGGTTCTCCAGGATTCCCTGCTCCCCTCACCTGCCCCATGACCCTTTTTTGAGGAGTTTTGGGGTCTCTTTGGGGTTCTTCACAGCTCCAGTGCCCACTCACCCCAGTGCCCTCCTGGACGTCCTTCTGGTGACCACCTCCAGAAGGTTCTCCAGGATTCCCTGCTCACCTCACCTGCCCCATGACCCTTTTTTGAGGAGTTTTGGGGTCGTGGGGCTCCCCACCATCCCCACCCCCACTCACCCCTGTGCCCTCCTGGATGTCCCTCTGGTGACCATCTCCAGAAGGTTCTCCACCACCATTTCCCAAGACCTTTTGGGATTTTTTTCTGGGATCTTTTAGGAGTTTTGGGGTCTCTGTGCGGTTCTTCATGGGTTCCCCAAGATTTCAGTGTCCATCTCCCTCATCCCCTCCTGGACGTCCCTCTGGTGACCATCTCCAGAAGGTTCTCCAGAATTCCCTGCTCCCCTCACCTGCCCCATGACCCTTTTTTGAGGAGTTTTGGAGTCTCTGTGGGGCCCCCCACCATCCCCACCCTGACTCACCCCGGTGCCCTCCTGGACGTCCTTCTGGTGACCA